TCTAGTCTCCTAGACTGTGAGAGAATAAATCTGTTTGTTAAAGCCATCCACTTCTGGTATTTCTGTTATAGCAGCACTAGATAACTAGGACCCTGTGCTTACTGGTTAATCTGCCCCTGGTGGGGGGGCGACGGGGCCGAGAGGTCCTACTTCTGCTCCAGATGTTCAGTCCAAGGCAGCTGGAACCAGCAGGAGCTGGCTGGGTGCTAGAGACGCCTGAGGAAATAGCAGAGGCACAGGTGCCAACTGACCATGAAGAGCAGCAGTTACAAGACCATGGAGGATTCTGGGAGCTGCACAGCAAGGTCCAGACAGGCTGGTGTGGGGGCTTAACTCCCCTCTGTGCTGGGGGTCTGACCATGCTGCTTCGTCAGTAGGTCAGTGTCAGCTCAGGGGAGTTAGCGCGATCCAGTCCAGTGTGCTGGACTCAAGAGAACTTGAGGACTTTCTGGGCCAACGATTGGAGGCCCATGTCACCTCCAGCTGGCAGCACCACCTGCTTCGTGGAGAGGTGGCAGCACAGGGCAGAACCTGTTGGCACGTGCTTCCCCACTGGCCACATGGTCCCCCAAGGTACTGGGAGGTGCCCAGGGCTAGACATGCCCATGAAGGGGTGCGGGCAGAGCTGGGCACAGCCCAAGGTCCAGGGATGGGTACTAGGTTCTGCTGTCCATCCTAGTGCCTCCAGCCCTGAGCTTTTCCGGTCCCCAGCCTCCAGGCAATGCTGAAACACAAGATGGACATTGAGTGACTGCCATGGGGCCCTCACCCTTCCCCCTGCAGCCCCTCCCTCAGCCCTATGAATTAGCCAAAAGGACACAGAGACATGGAAGGAAGTGGAGGCGAGATGCCGAATCATGCAGGACTTCCTTCTTCCATGTGGGGCAGGAGGTCGATGGCTGGGCATGGGGAGCAGTGGCCAGGGCCCAGACACTGACACGCTGGCCTGGGGCCGAAGGTGTTCCCACCGTGACCAGCACATGCACGTTCCTATGACGACCGGAGAAGCTGCACAACAGCACAGTACCTGCCTGCACAAGGTCCTCACCTGGGCCCCTGTTTCTAAACGCTAGTGGAGACCCCCCGGTGGGCTTGGGCCCAGTCTGAAAACGGGTAAGAGACTCATAAGTGAAGCAAGCTGAGTCTGGGTTCAGGACTGGGGCTCGTGATCGTGGGAGACCCCCACGCCGGCCCAAGGGTGGAGGGCCTGAGCCCCCCACTCAGGCAGAAAGACCCACTGTGGGGTTTCTCAGCTGCCCCCCACCCCTGCCTGAGCTGGGAGAGAGCCTTTGGCTGTAGACAGCTGTCCCTCGTGCTCAGGGATCCCCCAAACCTATGCTGGGTGTTGTTGGGGTCTCAGGTACCCACGGTCCCCAACTCTGTGGTTGTTACTGCACGTACATTTGTCCCTGCACTGTGGTTAGATGGCCTGTTGTAGGGAAAACAATCACAAAGTTTAGTAAAGCAAAAAGAAAGTTTTATTCAGCATATATTCAAAAAAGCAAAAGTGAGAAGCTGACAAGCATGCTGCCAGAGCTGTCTGCCCGAATCCGAGGAATGTTACAGAATCATCAGTATATATTAACATCACAAAATGGGTAAAATCATTGAAAGCTTCACCTTTTCACCGACTGGCTAAAAACTACTAGATCGACGTGATTCTACATTTTGGATTATCTTTCTTAATAATCATTGGTACAGGTTTCAGTAACGACAGTCAGGAGGGTCTTCATTGGTCCAACAAATTTCCAATTCACTAAATGCTAATAGAAAAGATGAGTGGAAAGTCCTCTGTGTTCTCTTTGATTGGCTTATGTGAAAGTTTCCCTAAAAGGTATTTTCCAAGATTGTCCTAGCTATTGTCTTTATCTCAGGGCCCAGTTGATAAGTCCTTCTGAGCTCATCTCCAGCTGGGTCATTCTCTATGCTCAGGGAAAGGGAATAATGACTCCAATATTATTTTCTAAATCAGGCCCCAGCTCCAGGCTTGAATGCTGAGGCTTGCCCCAAAGCCCTTCAAATAGAACGTCAAAATACTATCCAACGTGATTTACAGTCTTAAAAAGAAGTGCAGCAGAACGAGTGTCCAGCAATAGAAGAACAGTTGTATAAATTTGCATTTAGTTCATGATCTAACGTGACCATTAAAAATGTTTAAAACATGAAAGTGAGTATTTAGTAACAGGGGAAAATGTTCCTAAAAAGTAAACTAAAAAATTCAGAAGAGAATGCTCAGCATAGTCTCATTCAACATAAAGAAAACAAAAATCCTCACAACGGGCCCAATACACAACATCACGATAAACGGGGAAAAGCCTGAAGTTGTCAAGGAGTTCATTTTACTTGGATCCACAGTCAATGCCCATGGAAGCAGCAGTCAACGAATCAAAAGACACATTGCACTGCTGCTGCAAAAGACCTCTTCAAAGTGTTGAAAAGCAAAGACGTCACCTTGAAGACTAAGCTGTGCCTGACCCGAGCCATGGTGTTTTCAATCACCTCCTATGCATGTGAAAGCTGGATGATGAATAAGGAAGACCAAAGCAGCATTGATGCCTTTGAATTGTGGCGTTGGAGAAGAATATTGAATATACCATGGACTGCCAAAAGAAGAAACAAATCTGTCTTGGAGGAAGTACAACCAGAATGCTCCTTAGAAGGAAGGATGGCGAGATTACATCTCACATACTTCGGACACGTTGACAGGAGGGATCGGTCCCCAGAGAAGGACATCATGCTTGGTAAAGTAGAGGGTCAGCAAAAAAGAGGAAGATCCTCAATGAGATGGATTGACACAGTGGCTGCAACAATGGGCTCAAGCATAACAACGATAGTGAGGATGGCGCAGGACCAGGCAGTGTTTTGTTCTGTTGTATGTAGGGTTGCTGTGAGTCAGAACCGACTCGACAGCACCTAACAACAACAACATACTTAATGCACAAATAAACCAGTTGCTGTCGAGTTGACTCTGACTCACAGCGACCCCATGTGTGTCGGAGTAGAACTGTGCTCCAAAGGATTTTCAGGGGCTGATTTCTGAGAAGTAAATCAACAGGACTTTTTTTCTGAGGTACCTCTGGGTGGACTCTAACTGCCAACCTTTTGATAGCAGCCGAGCTCGTTAATCATTTGTTCCACCTAGAGGCTTCCTAAATATATATAGGAAACACTGATATATATATATATACACACACACATACATATGCCAAAAAACCCAACCCAACCCACCACTGTCCAGTAGATTCCGACTCCTAGTGACACTATAGGACAGAGTAGAATGGCCCCCTAGGGTTTCCAAGGCTGTAGTCTTTATGGAAGCACACTGCCACATCTTTCTCTCTCCCAGCAGCTGGTGAGTTAGACAGCTGAGTGCTTCAACAGCTATGCCACTAGGATTCCTTAAATATATACAGGCTTGGAAAAATACTTGATATACGTGAGAACGTGAGCATTGGTTATCTTTGTGGTGGGATATTTAAGTTGGTTTCTTCCATATTTCCTACAATGAATATACAATATTTTAGTATGTAGAGCATTAAAGCTTGGTAACTGTAACACTCCAGTTGCACTAGAAACCTCACTCTGTGTCATGTTGTCCACCAGGCCTGGTACCGGGAGGTCCACTCATGATCACACCACTTCTGGACCCTCTCCTGACCGGAAATGACTCGCCTACAGCGCTAGCCCTCGGGCAGGAAGAGAAACCCTGCAGTGTCTGGAGTTGGAATTCTGCCACCACGACCAGCTACTTTTTTGGGGTGGCAGTCTATAGAAGCCTGTTGCTTCCCTTTGCTTGTGAAAAGGCAGGGTCTTTGTGCACTGTTTCCGAGTTCCACCGGAGGGTGGGGCTGGGACTACACGCCAGCCTGCAGCCCCTCCAGCAGCAGCGTGGTGCGGGGGAGTCCTCGGAGACTGCGCTGACTCCCCTCACCGCGGGTACACAAGGGGCCACACCTTGGGAACAGCCCTCACTCAATCACAATGTTGTTGCGTGATGGCTCGTTTGGAGTGGACACACGCAATGTGGATGTGTCGCCACTGTCCCCACGGGGCCCTGCCGGATTAAATTCAGGACCACGCGGTCCAGCGAGGCTCTTCGTGCAAACCGCCCCCGCCGCCCCCTGGACTGGGGACGTAACCTGCAGGGGTCTTCACGTGGAGCCGCGAGCCTGAGCTGGGGGGGACACAGTGAGCCCCCCAAGCCGGCTGCACTGCGCCCCCCACCGGGGACCCCCAGTCCCTCCGGGGCGGCAGGGGGCAGCTCACCTCCGCGGCGATGCGTACCGGGCGGGCGGGAGTAGCCGAGGTGCGGTGGCCCGAGGAAACCCGACGGATCGGTCCCAGAGGCACCCTGCGTCCTCGCCCTACCCCGCGCCCACCCGGGTTTCCCTAGATCAGGTCGACGCCTCCGGGGCGGGGCGAGGGCGCCACAGGGACGCGGACACCGTCCGCAGGAGGCGGCGGCGCCAGGAGGAGTGTGCAGAGAGCAGGCCTCGAGCTGCGGGGCGGGTCTGCCGCCTGCTCCCCGGCGGCGCTCCTCGGGGCGGGAATTCTGGGCCCCCTTCACTACCGAACGAGGCTCCTGGCGGCCCGTGGGGCGGGCTCCCGTGATCTGGGCCCCGCCCGGACGCTCCCCTGGGGCACGGCCCCGCCCCCCTCATCCGTGGCTCCGCCCACTCTCCCGTCGTTGGTCTTTCCCATGGGGCCTCGTCCTGCGGACCAGCCCGATCGGGCACCGCCCCGACTACCTGTTGCCCCGCCCACTAGGCAGCTCACACCCGCAGCCCTTGACCCTGCCCAGTCGGGCCCTCGCATTCAGGTCCACAGCCGTGCCCATTCAGGCCCTGCCCCCACCGTCCGTGGCCCCATCCACTCCGTTGTGCGCAGCACGGGGCCCCGCCCACTAGCGCCCCGCCCCCGCCCGCCGGTCCGTAGTCCCGCCTCAGCGTCCGCCGGCCGCACTGCGCAGGCGCGGTGGCACGAGCGCTTTATTTGAAAACATGGCGCCGGCGGGGCCGCGGCTGGTTCTATGCGAGGAGAGGATTCGAGAGAAGAGCGGCTTGGCTGCGCACCGCGACCTGGGTACGGCCAGCGCGTCGGCGGGTTCCAGGCTGAGGGCGGGCTGAGGGCCACGGGCTCCGAGCTGAGGGCCGCGGGCTCCGGGGTTTGGGCCGCGGCCACTGGGCTGAGGGACGCGGGCACCGGGCTGAGGGCTCCGGGCTGAGGGCTCCGGGCTGAGGGCCGCGGCCACCGGGCCGAGGGACGCGGGCAGCAGGCTGAGGGACACGGGCGCCATTGGTGGTCCTGGGCTGCCAGAGTGGTACACAGAGGAGACAGAACCAAAACCAGTCCAGGGAACTTGCTGCTGGATCGTTTCCTGAGTGCTCAGATCCCTAGGCTATCAGCATCCTGTTTTCCACTTTACATTCTTCTGATGTTGGTTTAATGTATTTTCGTCCCAGGTTTTTAGATATAATAAGTGCGGATGGATAGGGTAAAATGTGTCTACACCATCTTGTCCAAAATTGGAAGTCCTCAAAGCAAGTTTAAATTCAATCCAAGTGTTTTAAAAATAAATATTTCTGTGAAAGTATTGGTGCACCCAAATCCAGCCTGTCTTTTTGACTAGGGAAACGTTCGCTTTTGTAGCAGTACGTGTTTAACAAGTGTTGACCGCACAGGCACGCATAAGCAGGCCATGCACAAGTGCAGATGTGCAGAGCACGCAGCCTGCCCTCACACACACCGTGTGGCACAGAGTGGACAGGTCAGCCCACATGTGCATTTCCACTAGTGATCCCCGCGGTGAAGGCAGTGGCGGGGGATGGAGTTGGGCAGCCAGGAGTGGGACAGGACACCCATTAGGAGGGCACAGGAGGGGGCCGCCCTGGTGAGAGAGGGCTTTAGGGAGAAGCCATGGCCGTAGAGAGGAGGGCATGGATTTGGGCATAGTGTGGAGGCAAATGTAAGCTGAAACTTAACCACAATAGAACACCCGTTGCTGTTGAGTCGATGCTGACTTATAGCGACCCTATAGGACAGAGTAGAACTGCCCCATAGGGTTTCCAAGGAGTGGCTGGTGGATTCCAACTGCTGACCTTTTGGTTATCAGCTGAGCTCTTAACCACTGCGCCATCAGGGCTCCAACCTCTTTAATATTGGCATTCATATTTTGAATGAATTTCATTGTTTTTCTAAATGACTTTTTCTTGAACTATATCTCATTATAAAAAAACTTGGAAAATACAGATATGAGTTATAAGGAAAATAAAGGTCAGCCAGAATGGGAAAAAAATGTGTTAATGTTTTCTGCCTTTCCTTCTAAGCTTTTTATGTTTTGTGGCTGTATTTTTAAAGCTAAGAATTTAGGCTTTTATTACGATAATTTTTTCAATAAAAAAAAAAGTTTAACATGTTATGATTTTCTATTCTTAGCTGAACTTCGATCCTTATCTATTCCTGGAACTTACCAAGAAAAGATTACGCACCTAGGAAATTCTTTGATGCATTTAACCAGTCTAAAATTTTTAGATCTCTCACGCAACTCATTGGTTAGTCTAGAGGTAAGTTTTAGGTTTGTTTGTTAAAGGAGGAATCATTGCTGTGAACAGCAGTGGAAAGTGCACTCATGGTCAGTAACGTAGTCTGTTCTGTAACTGTGTGCTTTTGGGGCGTGTACTCGCACCCGCCCACTTAGAAAAAGTATAAGTGTTGTTTTTCTTGTGTCTACCCTGAGCGAGATTCTTACACGTTCCATCACATCTTTAAATTACTTTTGACAACCAAAAGCTATGGCTTGCTGATGAAGGTGGTTGTGTCTTTAAAGGAAATAAAACAAGGCCCCAGAGACTCATTTACGAGTCCTTCTCCCTCTCCATCCCTTTATCAGCAATGTTTTCTTTGTTCACTTTGCCCTCCATGTCTGCGGCCTCTGCCTCGTGGCCTCTGGACCTTGAGTAACAGCCTGTGGGGCAGGGCCTGTTGCCTTTGCCAAGCCCCAGGGTGAGATGGGCCAGCTCTCACTATCTGCTGAGTGAGTAAGGAGTCACTCAGACCAACAGTGAATGCAGACAGTTGTGCAAGCACTGCATAGTTTACTACAAAGAAGATCTCTTGCTTTGAAAGAAGCTGCAGGGAAACAGACACTTTCACTCTGTAGAGGGAACCCAGCACAGTGGCCAGGGGCCCCGCCCAGTCAGATACAGGCTCAGGCCAGGCACTGTCAGACCTTCCCAAGCCTTGGTTCGTTAATCTGTAAAGTGGGAGTAAGAGCAGTTCTTACTGGATGGGACTGTGCAGATGAAGTGAAATCATGGGTAAGTCACTTAGCTTGGCGCATACTGAACACTTGGTAAAGATACGTATCCTTGGTGCAGTTATGACTATGACTGTTGCGAGCCTTCCTGCACAGTCATTTCACTGTGTAACACAGAATCGTATATCTGAGCATACATTTCATTCTTATGCTCTTTCTGGAATGCATGTATTTATTACAAGTGTGTTTATTAAATAGGTTGGCCCGTTTGTATTGGTGGCCCATTTTGCCATTTATTTATTTTTAAGGGTGAACTCACTCAGCATTTTTTTTCCCATTTACAGGGCATTCAGTATCTGACTGCATTGGAAAAACTCAACCTCTACTACAACTGTATTTCCTCATTAGCAGAAGTGTTTCGGCTCCACTCTTTGTTGGAGCTCACAGAGGTGGACTTCCGGCTGAACCCCATTGTAAAGAACGAGTCTGATTATCGCCTTTTTGTTGTGCACATGCTCCCAAACCTCAGACAGCTCGGTAGGCAGGCGGTTACCCCGGTCAAGTGGCCATAACAGTCACACTCTTGTTCAGTGGGGCAGGATCAGGCTGCTCTGTGCTCTGAGGTGGATCCTGTGCATGATTCCTTCTTAAAACGGAAACTGATTTTCTACTGTTGCTGGCTTTGAGTCCCTTTGAGTATATACACAATGCAGGGAGGTGGTGCCGGCTGGGGTTAGGGACACAGATGCTGAGCCAGCTGCTCGGTCCCGCTCGGCTCACCACTCCCTCACTGTCTGACTTTGGGCACCTTCCTAAACTTCTGAGGCCCCTTTCCTTGTATGGCCCACAAGGAAGCGTGAGGCAGAGCTCAGCCTAGGCCGTCTGCTCCTGGAGATGCCTGGGATAGTCTGCCTGTGCACCAGGCACCTGAGGCCCAGTTGTGGCGGGCTGTTTCTTGGTACCATACACATGGGGTCCAGTCATGGCAGGCTGTTTCGTGGCACTGTGATGCCATTTGCTAGCTACTTTGTGCGTTTTCTTCCTAGATGATCGCCCTGTGAGAGAGAATGAGCGAAAAGCATCCCAGCTGCACTTCACTTCAGAGGAATCACTTGACTCAAAGCATAGTTTCCCAGCTGCTTTGAAAGGTGGAAGGTACAAGCAGAGTGATATTTGAACATGTAGAGCAGTAAGTTTCTCAGGCTTGTTTGTTGATAGAATGTCTGACGGATATGACCTTCTGTGAGCACTGACGGCCATTTCAGGGGCAGTCGTGCAGAGAGGAGCAGGAAGGAGTGTCACCCGGGGCGCCAAGTCTCTCTTCCTGCTCCAAAGTTTTCTGTATGTTTCTTTTGTTATGTTAATGTCATTGCATTGTAGGGTGGATCCTAAACCTAATCACTTCTGAGTTATAGAAAGAACAGATTAGACAGACACGGGAAGACGGATGCTAGGGATCGAGGCAGATACCAGAAACTAGTAGAGAGGCCCACAGAAGGAATATCTGATTTGGACTTTAGCCTCCAGAACCATGAGAAAATAGATTTCTGTTCTTTAAAGGTACCCACTTGCAGTATTTCTGTTATGGTAACACTAGGAGACTTAGACATCCTTCCTATTAAATGGTTAATTGACAATTGTATTGCTCATTTCCAGGGGCTTTTTCATCTTGCAATGGCCTTTTCCAGGGCATCCTGTTTTCGTTTTATGGTCGTTGTAACTTCTCAGGTCTCCTCAGGAAAAATTATGGTTTTAATTTTCCCTAAGTTCTCATCTAATCCCTGCATCTCCTGTTTCTTTGAAAATTTTCAGTTTGTTCATGTTAATCTTCCTTGTGTGAGGTGAGCCTTTGTAGTGTATCTTTGGGGTGTATCTTGTGTCCTGCAACTTTGCTCAACTAATAAATTTAGCTGTAATAGTTGTGTGTGTGGGGGGGGGAGTTCTTTAGAGGTTTCTATGTATAAGTTTGTGTTATCTGCAGATAGAGATAGTTATATTTCTTTTCCAATTTGGATGCCTTTTAATTCTTTTTCTTGCCTAGTTGCCCTGGCTAGAAATCATAGTACAATGTTGAATAGATGTGGTGAGAGCAGACATCTTTGTTGTGTTCCTGATCTTAGGAGCAAAGCTTTCAGTCTTTCACCATAAGGATGATGTTAGCTTTGGGTTTTTCATAGATGCCCATTAAAATGGCACGTGGACGTCAGACCTCCTTGTCTAGCTTCAGAAGAGGTGAGGATAATCACCATCATCATCAGTCCAAAGCTGATTCCTGTGAGGCGGAGATCAGACATACCTTCACTCTCTAACCTTTTTTTTTTTTTTTAAATAATTCTGACACCAGTTGTCCCTTCTCTGGCACTCTCTACTTCTCTGTTGGGTTTAATAATTCATTGCAGTGGACACACAGAACTCACAGAGCATACTCAACGATTATGGAGTTTATTAGGGAAGTAACAGTTTACAATTCAGAATCAGGATCAACTTGGAAGTAACAGGAACTACTTAGGATACGGTTCTTTGATCAGGACAGCTTCTCAGCTGTGCCTGCAGGCAGGCCTCTGCCACCAGGCCCTGCTTGGGCCTGGCTTCTGCCACTAGGCCCCCACTCTCGGCCTTGGCCCTCAGCCCGGTCTCTGCCCTGCTCAGGCAGGTGTTACAGCTCTTCAGCTCCGCTGATAAGTGCCCCAAGGCACCCCATTCCACCAGGAAATCTGCCTGAAGGTGCTCAGCTTTCTCACTCTGTGGGTTGGTGAGCCTACCCTACCTGTCCTGTGCCACTGCTGTCTCGTGCTGCCTTCAGTATTTCAGCTCTTTCTTGCTCCTGGATCTAGGAGGTTCTCAGCACAGGAACCCTGGGTCCTAAGGATGTGCTCTGCTCCCAGCTTTTCTTGATGGTAGGGAGGTCCCCCCTCAGCCTCTCAGTTTGGCTAATTTTAAGCCTAGCAGGATGGCAGAACTGACCAATCCCCTGCAAGGGTTCCATGCACCTTATTTGCATGGTCCCATCCCTGCAAGAATTCCACGCACCTTAGTTGCATTAGCAAAACTGTCCAGTCCCCTTGGTGGGCCACAAACACCTTATTGCATCATCCCGCCCAACCATTTTGTAGGAGTTACAAGACCTTATTAAAGCAGTCACTGCACCGCAGTGCCCTTTATCAATTCCTTTCTGTCGCTTGCTTGTTGCGTGTTTTAATTATGAGAGGGTGTTGGGTTTTTTCACATGCTTTTCCTGCATCAGGTGAGGTGCTCCTGTGGTATTCTTTGTTTCTTTGCCCTCACGTTACTAATGTGGTGTATTCTGTCAGTTGATGTTTGTGTCGTGAACCACCTTGTACTCCTAGAATAGATCTCACTTGGTCGTCATGTCTGATCCTTTCAGTATGTTGCTGGGTTCAGCTTGCTAGCATTTTGTTGAGGGTTTTTACATCTGTATTAATAAGGGATATTGATCTATAGTTTTCTTGTGATTTTTTTGTCTGGCTTTGGAATTGGGGTAATGCTGGCCTCAGGATGAGTTAGGAAGTGTTCCCTCCTTTTTTGTGTTTTGGAAGAGTTTGATGTTAATTCTCCTTTAAATGTTTGGTGGAATTTACCAGTGATGCCATCTGGTCCTGGTCTTTTCTTTGTTGGAAGTGTTTTGATTACTGATTTCACCTTTTTACTTCTTATAGGTCTATTCAGATTTTTTACTTGTATCAGTTTTAGTAGTTCGTGTGTTTGTAGGGATTTGTGCATTTCAGATAGGTGTCTGATTTGTTGGCATAATTGTTTGTAGTATTTCCTTATAATCCTTTTCATTTCTGTAAGGTTGGTAGTTGAAATGTCCCCTCTGTCATCCCTGATTTTAGTAATTCGAGTCTTCTTTCTTTTTTTCTTTGTCATTCTAGTGAAAGGTTTGTTAATTTTGTTGATATTTTCAGACTTTTGGTTTTTTTTATCTTTTCCATTGTTTTTCTTGTCCCTATTTCATTTATCCCCACTCTAATCTTTATTATTTCCTCCCTTCTGCTTAGTTTGGGTTTAGTTTGTTCTTTTATCTAGTTTCTTAAGGTAGAAGTGTAGGATATTGATTTGACATCTTCTTTTTTAATGTAGGCATTTACATCTACAAACTGCCGTCTGAGCAGTGCTTCCGCTGCATACCATATGTTTTGACGTGTGGTTTTTTTATATTTGTTCTCTGCAGTGTTTTTAGAGTTCAGAGACCTAATAGATGGTCTGGCCCCCCTCCTTCTTATGCAGAGAAGATGGAGACCCAAGGAGGCTGGAATGTGCTTAGCGTCAAGAATCTGGGCAGACCCAGAACGAGAACCAAGCCCCCTTTTCTGAGGTTCCCCCACAGTGCAGTGAGCAGGAAAGCTTTCAGTTGTAGAGAATAGTGACTGTGACTGGCCTCTTATGACCAGGTGTCATACATGTGAACAACCTCCTGAAATCGATATTAACAGTATATGTGATTGTAACTTTGACGAGTGATTTCCTATGTTACCTTCATTGAACGTGAGGTCCCCTTTGAGCATGTTCACCTCCATGCTGAGGGCAGCCACAGCGAGACGTTGCTGTATTCCACCACCCCTCAGGATTCAGTCAGTATGGGACTATTTTCCCTTAATGTAAAAGTAGGAATTGGGAACCTGATATCCTTTAACTTTCTCGACCCCACATATCACGTTGTAGAATACTAAGAAAAGGAGAAGTTGAACTTTAGCCTGCTGAAGATTGCAGAGCAAAGGTTTCCAGAATTTTGATTTTTATGCCAATCCCAGTGAGGTTGGTTTAAGACATGTCTTACTTCAGTTGCACTAAAATATTCCTGATTAAGTACCTTACAGTCATGCAGGCAGTTGCTTTTCCCAGGGTCTTGGTGAATGGCGTGCACCCCTGGTTCAAATGGAGATTGTTGAGTTTGCTTTTCTTTGTAGACCTCACCACGGCAGAGCCAAATGCGCCGACTCGTTGTCTAAGTGCCCAGTCCTGGATGCTGACGACGAGGCTGTCCTGAACCTCATCGCAGAGTGTGAGTGGGACCTGAGCAACCCTCCTGGGAGCACAGGTTCCAGCCAGAGGGAGCGAGAGACGGACGTCCCCAGCTCACAAGGTACGTCGCTCACTCCACGCGACTGCCAAGCAAGCAGTCCCCGGCTTATTCTGGGATGCCTCAGTGCACAATCGCACACTTTAGAAGAACTTACCTTCAGGTGTGGCAACTTTGCAAAGTTTTCATACGCTTTTGAATACCAGTAACTTGGCGCATAGAATTATAGAAGGAAAAGTTATTGTGTTTAAGTTTAGCGCAGCCGTACCGCACAGTTGTTTAAACCGAATTCTTCTCTCAGATCACGGGGAGGTAAGGTGCTCTGTGGCTGGCGAAACTGAAGTCCATGTCAGCCGCTAGGGATGGTCACTTAGCTTTTAGGAAGTGTTAGGAGCCCCGGCCCTTGATTTTGGAACGTTAGACCCTAATGAGGACGTCGTGTAGATGGCTCCGTGTTTGACCTTGTTTATGTGCCTTGTTTGGGGACTCTGTTTCTTACTGGGACTTGTTTCTGAGCTTCAGCTTCCTTATTCTTCTTCCGTGATGGGTTTCTAACAAGCGGAGGGTATGTGGGGCCTGAAACCCCAGGACCTCTGCCCTCTCTGCAGTGCCGTCCCCGCCCTGTGCTCACCAGCTCACCACGTCTCACACCTGCCTCTTGGACGCGCCTGGGTCCGCATCCTCCCCACCCCTGCAGCCTGCCCCAGGGCTTCAATGGTTTAGATGCTACTTGATGCAAATTAGTAGGAAAATTTTAAAAAGTGGTTTTGAAGGGCAGGGATAATAAAGAAGATTTAGACCAAAGGAAAGTTAGCAGAGCATTTCAATAAAGTGAGAAACATGGGAGGCGGAAAATGGCAGCTGACTGAAGGCAGTTGCCCTTGTTCTTATTCCTCAGCTAAAACGAGGAAATGTAGGTTGTTTACTCCACACACCCAGAGGGAATGTGGGGAGTGCACCCCGAGACCACCCGCGTCCACTGAGGAGGGGCCTGGTTGGAGGTGGGGCGGGGAGTGCACCCCGAGACCACCCATGTCCATCCAGAGGGGCCTGGAGGTGGTGGGGTGGGGAGTGCACCCCGAGACCACCCATGTCCATCCAGAGGGGCCTGGAGGTGGTGGGGTGGGGAGTGCACCCCGAGACCACCCATGTCCATCCAGAGGGGCCTGGAGGTGGTGGGAGGGCACACCCCGAGACCACCTGTGTCCACTCAGAAGACCGGCTCTGTGGCCGTCTCTCCTCACAGAGTGGGTAGGGGTTATGCTGGGAGAGCTCGCAAGGTGTGAGCTATGACCCCGGTTACCCCTGTCACAGCAACCTGACCACCACAGCACACCTTGAGTCCTGAGTCACGTCACCTTCTCAGCGAAGGTCTGAGCTGCAGAGCCCCTCCTCCAAAGTGCTTTTTGGGTTTGTCTAGTCTGATTTACTCAAAACAACAGGATTAAAAGGAGTGTTTGAGAAGAACGTGTTGATAGCAGTGAACAGCACCAGCACTGTGCTTGCTGTGAGTGGTCCTCACCTACCCCTGGAGGGTGCAGCTCTACCCGCCTGCCCACGGAGGGCACTGAGGCACCGGTGGCAGAGCTCGGGGCAGGACGGGAGCCCCGGAGTAGGACCCTGGCATCTGGGCCCAAACCTGCACGCACCCACTGCCAGTCACATCTCACCTCCTGGCCCCTGTGTTTCCTCCCTGGGGTGCTTTGTGAACCGCTCAGTGTGAGGAGAGGTGGTTCCCCACAGGCACTCTGTCCTGCAGCTCCCCCAGGTGGTTTCGTTTGTGAAGTATGCCTGCCCAGGTTAATAGTCTTCAGGGTAGGCCCTGCTCCACTCTGTGCAGATTAAAAGTGACTTCCGGAGGGATCTCCATGCCTATACCCCATTCTTCTAAATGCTTTTTGTAGTTGGAGACCTTTGAGGGTGCATTTGATCTTTGCTGAAACCAAGGGTCACACAGAGCTAATGATCCTGGTGATGTGGTTACCCTAGCTGAGCGTCAGTGTGTCTTCTCTTATGTAAACCAGCTCTTGGTGACCATGCCTTAAAGCTGCACTCTGTGGGCTGAACAGGCTCTGGAGGAAGCGTGTTTTCAGAGAAAGCTGGCCGTGTTGAAGCAGAGCAGATCAGGACAGCAAGGACTTGCAGTCTGCTCAGAGCAGTGTCACTGTGCTGCAGAGGCCTGCAGTGGCCCTGGCTTGGGGCAGGTATGGGTGGCTACAAGGCCAGTGCCCACCTCTGCCTGCCCTCAGCACTGCCCCTCGGGGCGCTTGCACAACTCCTCCTTGGAGCAGACAGACTTTCCTGTCAGTGATTCACTCTTGTTTCTTGGTGGGTTTTATGGTAATGAGAGTGTTTTGCCCCAGACAGGTGTTTGTATATATATTTTAAAGACTTATTTTTTACTTATTAGGGGAAAATTATTTCTCCCTTCGGACATCTTCTCATTAGCAGTCTGGTGGAGAAGGAAGCTTTTGGAATTGAGTCCAAATTTTATGGTGGGATGTGGTCCTAAAGACCTTGTATAAGTCACAATGTGAGAATTTAAGACTCATTTTCCCAGAGGAGTGACTGTTACGGAGGAGGAAGACCTTCAGGGCTCAGAATCTGGAAGCATCGCTGTGAATTCTGCTCACTGCTTTAGCATTTCTCTGTTTTCTCAAGATGGATGATATTTCAGCTCACTACAGTTATGCA